GACGCAGCGCGCGCCGCCACGCTTATGGGCACGTAGGCGTCGTCCCCGTCGTCCCCATCACCGCCTCCACCGCTGCTGCGCGTGCGCCGAGGCGCCAGCGCGCCCGCTGCCGGCCCCGGGTGAGCGGGCGCCCAGGCCGCCGCCGCGCCGCGGGCGAACGGCGACGGGTGCGGCGGCAGGCGCGCGCTGGGCGCCGGCGCGCCTGGCGACGCGTCTGAATTGCTGCCGTCCTGCGCAATCTGGAAGGACTGCGGGGATGCGCCGTTGTGGGAGCCGTGGAAGCTGCCGCTGTTGATGCGCAGCACGGGTAGGGTCTTGTTCGACGACTGGGGGCTGAGGACGGAGCTGCGGCCGCCGACCGCTGAGGATTGCGGGCTCAGGGCGGCGTTGTGGCCGCCGACGCCTGATGACTGCGGGCTGAGGGCGCCGTTGCGGGCGCCGCCCGCCCCTGACGACTGCGGGCTAAGGGCGCCGCGGGCGCCGGCCCAGGCGCCAGCACCGGGCAGGGGGCTGGAGGGGGCACGCTGCGGCACGCCAGCCGGGGCCACGGCGGCGGGATCCCCCCGTCCCAGGTTGGACGGGGGCGGCGCCGCGCGGCGAGCGGCCGCGGGCAGCTGCTGGGGGCTTTGCGGCCCCACCGGACTGTCTGGCGGTGTGTCGGACGCCTGCATATCGCTCGCCGCCAGCTGGAACGACTTGGGGGAGGACACGCCTGTCTGGCCAGAGGCGACAGATTTGGGGCCCGAGCGGAGCGATGGCAACTGATGCGACCCACCAGCCCCCGAGGCGCCCGTGGCTGCGTTTACCCCACCGCCGCCGCCGCCGCTGGACACGCGGCGCGGCGGCCCGCTTAAGACAGATGCAGCGCTGGCGTCGCTGCCGCGGCGCTGGGGAGGGGCGGGCCGGGCGCCCTCGCCGCGGTTCACGCCTGCGACGCCGCCCGTGGCTGCTTCATCAGGCGGAGGCGGCGACTGCGGGGTGCTGCCATGGCGAGGCTCGCCGCTGAGGCCGCTCGCCTGGACCCGCGCCCCATCAACGGCTGCGCCTGAATCGTTTGCGTCGATCTTGCCGGGATGCGGGCTTGTGGGCCCATTACCCCTTCTTAGGCCTGTCCAAGTGTGGTGGTGACAAGGGCGTGGGCTGGGTGCCCACGCTGTGAGAGCTTTGCAGTGCCGGATTGCAGGGCAGTTTGTCCTGATTGCCTCATGCGCCGCTGCCAAGCTCCACTGTGTTCATTCATCCAGCCTTGATGCATGGCACCACTTGTGCATCGCCCCAACTCCTCACCGAACATCGAGGCTGGAAACGCTGCCCTGGCAGGTTTCTAACCGCCGCCCCAGCTGTAGAGCATCCACGCCCCGAGGTTGGGTCTCCGCTGTTATATTGAAGTCTCTAGTACATGTTGGGTGTAAGGTGTACAACGCGACCCCGCTGCGAAGCGTTAGCACGGTAGCACGGCGTCAAGGACCAATTGGTATAAAATCACGATTGAAGACGCGTCGATGATGCTGGATCATTTTAACGTCTTTTGGGGATACACCGGATGGATCACCTCAGAGACGTGGCTGGCGAATGCTCCCGACGACACTGTGTTGTCCTGGCGGTTTTCGCACCGTGGCTGCCGTGCCTTGCTTCATACCAGCATCAGGCGTCCTTTCCGGGCACTTTGTATTGCATGAGTTTCCAAGTACAAGGGCTTCTTGCACACACGCGCGTGGCCATCGCTTAGGCGCGCATCACAGGTCCGCTGCTGTTTATCATTTCGTTGGCGAGAACTTGCGCGTGAACTGTCTGCTTCAGACGACCTGTTTGCTGCTTGAGAGACCAGCTGCAGGATATCCATGATCTCAGCAGGCAGCAGAAGGAATTACAGGTGTGCGCCACGGCACGTCGCTGCAAGTGCGCAGCGCAGCTTGGAGGATTGCATGGGATGCTTGCTCTCTCTGCGATGTCACTGGATGGCGTCCGAACTCGATGGCGTCCGAACTCGACACAATTGATGACGCATTACTCACCTGTACGGGGTCAGGCAATCGCAAACGTGTGAGTGGGCAGGCTGATGGTCGGAAGGCAGGCTGATTTGGCGTGCACAGGGTACAACAGACAGGCCTGCTGGTAATAGGCTTCAAGAGCTGGGTGTTGTATGTGCACACCATGTATAACTCCCCAAGCAACGCCCGCGAGGGCAGGTACTGGGGAGCTAAGTTTGGGCGCTGGGGTGTGCTCTGGCACAGGTATGAATCCACTTGCAGGGCGTGGTGATGGGCCCAGCAGCTGCAGACGCTGTGCGGTGCACATACAGGGACCCATGTGAGGTGCGGCGGCATACCAAGGCCATGTGCGTACCAAAGTAGGGTTTCTTGAGGATTATACAGGATGGGTGCTTCTGAAGTGGGGAGAAGAGCCCGGCCGATGCCATCATCGTGGCCTAGATCATAAGCACAGAGCCAGCGAAGTGTTCGAGATGCTGCAGTGTGACGTGGACGATGGAGCCACGAGGTGGAGATGAAGGCAAGACGTGGACAGTCCCCTGCATGGCGACGCAGTGGGAGCAGTAGGCAAGGAGACGGGGGCGCAACTGTCAGCAAGCGAGCGTGTGGCCCGAGCCACCACATCGTGACAAGCAGCAGGTGAACATAAAGAAGAGCAGGACGGGGCCGGCCGCCATAAGACGTGCGCTCAGATTAAGAAATTCAACCATTATTCCGATGTCGTCAGAGTGGACACCTCAGTAGCGCGGATAATTGGCATCACAGCGCATGGGGGCCGGCCGGCCTGCCTTCGCAAAAAGCACAGGTCAAATGACCAGTAGCTTGAAAGACATTGCAATCCCAGGTGTGCCCGTTCCGTAAGTATATACAACACACCTGTTTTGCTGGGCACGCGCTCCCAGGTAGATGGTATTGTGAAGTCATGCTGCCAGGAGCAGCGGCGGCTGCAGGTCAGCGACGCGTCGCGTGTGCCGGCCTGTTGCAGGTATCCGCACACAGCGTATCAACATGATGCTGCTGTGTCATCGGGGAGATGCACCAAGTAGCGAGCTGGATGGCAATGTGAGAGAGAAAAGCGCCGCCAGAGATCGCAAGTCGAGAAGGATATGTTGCCTGATCCCGAGGATCCCGAGTCAGAGAAAGAAACATAGCTTGTTTGATTCACAGACCGGCAGGCCGCGCCTGTGCCGGCACCGGCGAGATCAGCCCATGGCCTGAGCGTTGGGCACGACGTGCGTGCGAGAATGAAACACTTCGGAATGAAGATAAAGCTACGCACAGGTGGACCGCACGATTCGAAGCCGGGGCTACGGGGGCTTTGAAGGCCATGGCAGCAAGGATGGTTGCCCAGCTGCCGGTACAAAACGAGTGCGCCAGGAGTGCGCTCGCCGGATGCTCAGCAGACGCTGGTAAGCGGCTTCCCTGCTCTCTGCTTCCCACCTTATACGCTTCTTATCCCATCTTCCACCACTTCTGGCCGCGTGTAAGGGCGACGCATGTAAGGGCGGCTGTGTGGCTGTAGGCGCACCAGACGCGCCATTCGCGACCCACACAGCACTCTGAGCCACCCCTCCTGTTCTGCAGGCCTCAACACGTCGGACGGTTCATTTCTTGGCCAACCAATCATGCAGTATCGTCATGCCTTGAGGCGGGGCGTGACAACTGCTGGCTTGCGCGATGTGACTACTGTCACATGCCAGGTGCCAGTGCCAGAGTCACACACTCACTCGTACACCTGCAGAAGAACGATCGAGCTGCAAAACTATGTGGTCTCAACTAGGTCTGACTGTTGGAACGCTGCGGCCTGCTTGACTTGCCGCCCTCAATGACCCTGCGTACGACTTGTGCTGAGGTACTCAGTGTCGTCGTTGTGGCATCACTGGGCTGCATGAAACCTCCTTGGTTCAACAGCGAGCTGGAAACCATCCATGAACAAGCGACCCTACAGTGATGATGACAATCAGCGACGGGATAACTGCGCTTTTCCAAGGTCAAATTTCTCTCAACGCTGGATCAGGTGTTGAACAGTGGACTGGCCATGTCTCCCGTGCGGGGCTGTGTATAGATTAGCAAGAAGCTCTATGCGTCTTGTGCAAAAATCGTCGTATCATGCATGCACTGACGAGGGTTCGATTACCGAGGGGTAGAGTGGTCACCACAGTAGACACCGCACACGGCAGATGTGGCAAGCAGCAGCGTGCTCAAAGCGATTGGGGTATCCCGCCCATACCCGTGCCATCGGTACCCCTCGATACACTGAATCACCTGCGCGGTAGGCGGCAGGCCGTTCGGGGCAGCACGACGCTTCCTGAGCCGGTGTCCCTGGGGCCGAAAGTATTGTGCGGCGAAGTGGCAAAGTGCGTGAATGCTGTGGCGTGTGTGGGTGTCCACGGCGGGCTCCTGCCAGTCTTGTTGTGTCCAATCCGGCCATTCGTGCCGCTCAAGGCCAGGGCGCAGTGTCGGCGTTTGCATCGACTGGCCAGCTGCCGGCGCAGTGCGCAGTGTGCAAGTGCCGCTGCGCACCCCGCCCTCGCCCTTTTCCCCGGCGTTGGCTTTTCCACAGCCCTCCGGGCAGTCAAGGTGAGCCACGCTTCTGGATAAAACGCGCTGGGCCGCGGGGCATCACTGCAGGCCGGCGGCCCCTGACCGCCCTCACCGCCATTCAACGCGACAGGAGAGCCTTTCAGCACCATGGTGAAGCACAACAACGTCATCCCGAACCAGCACTTCAAGAAGAAGTGGCAGTTCCGCGTTCGGACATGGTTCAACCAGCCTGCTCGCAAGCTCAGGCGGAGGCAGGGTGAGCTTTCGCGCCACGGATGTTTTAGTCGACATGGGAGCGAGCCGCCCTTGATCTCACGCGGTGCCGCCCTTGCTGCCCGCAGCCCGTGCTGAGAAGGCCGCCAAGGCCTTCCCCAGGCCTGCGGCTGGCCCTCTGAGGCCCGTGGTGCACGGCCAGACCATCAAGTACAACGCCAAGGTCCGCCTCGGCCGCGGCTTCACCCTGGCGGAGCTCAAGGTGCGGCAGCGGCGCGCGTGATGCTTGGCTGGTTTAGCGCAGGGCGATGCAGCGAGAGTGATCATTGGCAGCTTGTGTGCCGCACAGCCCAGTGATGCAAGGCAGTCCCAACATCAGCGGTGCAGCTGACGGGGCAGACAGGATGGCACTGCAGCGGCGATGCTTGGTTGAAGCTGGTCTGCCTGGAGGGAGGAGTGGTGGGAGGTTATGTGCCATCTGATGGCTGTGCACGACGCTCGAGGCAGTCGCGGCGGTGTACAGTATTCGCTGGCAGGTCACGTGTCCCTGATGTCACGGCGTCACGCAGCAGCAACATGCGCACAGCGATGGTGATGCAGCATTGGCTCAGCTGATGTGGGTTTGCGCAGCTGGAGAAGCAACCAGCAGCATTATGTCGATCGCAGTCTGGGCAACTGCAGCTGCAGTATTATTTTCATGGGCGCCGCACCAGCAGCGCCAGCAATGCGGACAGCCGCAGTGGCATCAGCAGGCTGTCTGTGCCGCTGGAGCAGCAGCTATATGCATGCATGCCTAGCGCAGCAGAGGGCTGTCTGCTGTGCGTGCGTGTTGAGCATCGCCGCCGATGTTTGCGGTCGCTGCCATTGACAGCAGTGGCAGAAGCCGCAGCACGAACAGGTCTCTGCAGAGCGCGTTCCCCATGAACGCGCAGGCGGCAGAACCGTCGTTCGTCGCTGCAGTGACAGCAGCAGCAGCAGCAGCAGCAGCAGCATCGAGGCAGCTTCTATTGTTTGCATCTAGCTGGCAGCCCTGACGCCCTTACAGCCAAAAGCACAGTGACTGCACAACATTTTTTGTGAAATTTTGGCCCCCACAGCTCTGTTGCGGCCTCTCTTAACTGCAAACACGCTCTCACGCAAGCACACATGAGTGCACACGCACAAAAGCGCGCGTGCGCATGCGCGCGCGCACACACACACACACACACACACACACACATACACACACATATATACGCACGCTCCCCTTGTAGGAGGCGGGCATCCCCGCCAAGCTGGCGCCCACCATCGGCATCTCCGTCGACAACCGCCGCCGCAACAGCAGCCTGGAGGGCCTGCAGGCCAACGTGGCCCGGCTCAAGGCCTACCGCAGCAACCTGGTCATCTTCCCGCGCAACGCCAACAAGCCCAAGAAGTTCGAGGTGCGCGGTCGAGGGGGGACGTCGCTTGCTGCCAGCCGCTAGCGCCGACTGATGCGGGTGCATGATAGAGATCGCTTGTGTATGTGTGTGTTTGTGTGTTTGAGAGTGTGTGTTTGTATGTGTGCATGGAGTGTGCGCGCCATGAGCACATGTATGGCGTGCAAGTCCTGCCACCGTGCGTCTCGTGCCATCCAGTGCGCGCGCCTTCGCAGCGAGCACGCAGGGTCTCCCCCCAGCCTTGCTCACCCCACGTCGGCCTCCGCCCCCCCAGGCGAGCAAGGAGGAGGCGGCCGCGGCGGCCGCGCAGGTGAAGGGCACCGTCATCCCCGTGGTCAAGGAGGCGCCCGCTCTGGAGAAGGTCAAGATCACCCAGGAGCTCAAGGT